CTCGTTCGTTTTTTTTTTTTATATTTTTTTTTCATCTTCGAAAGGCGTGGAGCACGATAGACAACACACAGCGATACACAGAGAGTTACTGAACAGAATTTTACCTATTATAATTATTATATATTATATATATACATATATACATATGTATATGTGTGTATAAATATATACACAGTATATTATATCTGGAGATATTTTAATCGCGGTTTTACAGATAACTATATGAATGTGAGATTTAATTTTAAGGAACGATGAAGAAGTGGTACTTTTAAAAATACATAATGAAACACACACGCCAGAGGACACACCGAACAAAAAGATACATGGAGATTACCTGGACCAACCGTGAAATGGATGGGCCAAGGGAATTCCGTATATAATAATAATATACACTAATGTACGAGTATTATAATGTACACGTTGCTGAGTACGTTTACAATTTGCTGGCGAGGATCCCGCTGGATTCGACGATCGTTGCTCATTGATTCTCCTGCGTACTGCCACCAAAGAGTTGTTTTAATTCTAACGTGACGCTAGAACTGCCGGACAGATGAATTTTTCATTTCATAATTATAAAAATAGCGAAAGAGAATTCAGAAGATATTATATTAAATTATCTTTTCTCTTGATACGTACACTGCAATGCAAACCTATCGAGATCTCGACAAGGGAAATATTTAAAAAAAAAGTGATGAATGCGTCACTTCGACTGTTCGGTGGTTCTAGTGTTAAAGGGAATTAAGGGAAAAATCGCTGCCGGTCGCGATCCAGAGTGAAATTATTTGCTACCTCAATTTTTGATATCGAGAAAACGCTTTTAGATGTCGGCCTTTTTAACGAGAAGGTTCAGAGCCCTTCGATGAAAGCTTCTGGTTTATGTTTCGCAGGATTGTGAGAACGCTGACACAGTTAGAGATTTTTTTCTTTGATCTCTATGATGCGGTACAGGTCTTTCCAGACTCTCGATTGAACCGTGAAATTGTACCTTCGTGAATTAACATATAATTTATTAACTTTACAACGGTATTAGAGAAGCGTTACTTTGCATCGACTTAGAAGGGGCATTAAGAATAAGAAGCCTGATGAAATGATCCGCAAGCGTGTTCTAGTTTCTTTGACATCGTTACCGTCTCGATCTTCAAATCTTCGACGAACAAACCGTTTTCGGTACACGTTAACGCCGCTCCGAGTGAACCTGTAAACGTATTCAGTACATGGTCTATATATCTAGTTCGACACAGAAGTAGTTAAGTAGCGCGAAACCATCACAGCTTAGCAATTCATCAGAGAGAACCTGGTCGATGCGTCTTTCAGACATCGTTTTTCACTTTTCGTTCCGCCTGTCTAGAAGAAAATCGAATTTGATGTTCAGTCAGAGCGCTGTCTTTAAGGGGATTCACTGGCAAATGGACATACGTTGTCCTTTGAAGCGTTGAAAAATGTTTTGTCTGGAACACAGGATCACGGGGTACACGAACATCGATGTCCCTAAAGTTTACATCTGAACCAACAACTTAAAGAGGAATTGGAATTTTATACTTCATTCGAACCCAAAACACGCCAAAGGAAGAAGATTACCGTGCTTTGACTATCAAGCCAGAGGTATACATCCATATTTTGATAAAGTAGAAATTAAACCAGCCACTGTTTAACAACGTCAGTTGTCCAGTATCTTTAGCACTACTAAAATTAGTTTCTTATGTGACACCTTGTTAAGCCAATGTTTAATTTTAGATTCAAATATCCACGAGTAACCGAGCTGTTAATGTTCCCTGGAAGACCCTGGCTCGAGGAAAGAACATTTTTCAAGCGGTGAAACCCTTTAACCGGTATAGCAATCCAAGGATAGAACCGTTAATAGAAGAGAGTACACACACGGTGTAACTATGATTCGTCTTCCAAAGCTTCTCACGGCACGCTTCTAAGTCACAAACACGACACACAGTTCACAGGATGTCCGAGCTAACGAGCAAGCACAGAGACGCCGTTTCTCAGAGCCCGATTCTATCCGCGTGTGTATATCAGTTCGCCAGCGGTGATGGTAACGCGTGATCGTCGTAATTAAACAGAGATTAAGAAGAAAAAAAAATTAATCTTTTCGTCTGTGAGGAAAAGAAAAGAAAAGAAAAGAAAACGTTTAACAATTCACGGATCGACGCGGCTCGAATCCCTGGAGGGGAATGTTGTTCGGTCGCTGGATCCTGTTCGGTCCGCGTTGATCCTTGACCGGGAATTAAAAAACCAAGTGGAATCCATCCAGAAGCTTCGCTTACGGTGAATTGTACTTCAGAACGTAGGTGAAGGTGTGCCTGTCTTTTTACTAGATCTCTGGGATCGATCGATGAGAGCCGTTCGATTCCTGTGAACCGGTTTCCCATGCGAAGCCGAGGTCCGAGTCGATCGGGAACCGGGGACCAACAAAGGAAACATTGTTGGTTCGATAACGCGAACACCGGACACACACGTTAGCCAGACTTCGATTCTAAAGAGATGGGCGCACAACCGTAGTGTTTAACTGTACCTAAAGTCGTCGTAGTGATTAAAATGAAGATAATTGTACCTA